CCTCTCCAGGGGGGCACTCACACCGGGAAGAGTGAGGTGGGGATGCGGACAAGAGAGGGGACCCTCTCGGGGCTGGGACAGGGCCTGACCCCCTTCTTTGGGTCCCCAGATGTGGACGAGTGCAGCTCCGGGCAGCATCGCTGCCACCCGTCCACCGTGTGCACCAACACCGTGGGATCGTACAGGTGCCGCTGCCGCCCAGGCTGGAAGCCCAAACCTGGGCTCCCGAATAACCAGAACATCACTGTCTGTGAAGGTGGGTTCTGACCTGCCCTTGGAACCTCCCCCGCCCCAACACACACAGACACACACACACACACACACACACACACACACACACTCTCGCACGCCTAACGAGCCGCCGTGCTGTTCCCTGCAGAGACGCCCTTTACCAACTGGACCCCGCCTCCGGGCATCCACAGCCGGGTGAGTGGCCCCAGCGGGGACCAGGAGGCAGGGAACCCCTGTGCAGCTTGAAGCATCCGCTCCCCGCCCTGTGCTTCCCACTCCCCCTCAAAGCTCTCTGACGTCCTCGCCTCCCCTCCCCCCAGACTCTTTCCCGCTTCTTCGACAAAGTCCAGGATCTGGGTAAAGACTTCAAGCCGGACTCGGCCAAGGACACCATCCAGGTAAGGTCAGGGCCCTGGGGGACCCCAGGACGGTGTAGAGGGTACTAGAGGGGGTGCCTCAATGTGGCTGGAGAGTGCTCAACCAGTGCAGGGGCCTCTGGCCAGAGACACACGTGCACACAGCATACACACAACCACACAGTAGATGCCCATTACACCCCACCAGACGCGCCACACACACACACACACACACACACACACACACACACACACACACAAGGGTATAATGGCAACAGAGCGGAACAATTAAAAACCTAGAGTCGGGGCCACAAGAGCTCACTGTGTGACCTCAGGCAAGTGACCCCCTTCTTGGGCCTCAGTTTCCCCATCGGTTACACAGGCATGAAAATGGTTCCTGCTATAGTCGTTGTGAAGTTTAAATAAACTAATAGTAGGAAGACTCAAAGAACAGTGCCTGGCAGAGTAAGCCTTATATAGTTTTCACCTGCGTGCTTAGCCCAGTAGAAAAATAACGTGAGCTATTTAACATCATTTTAACTTTTTCAATAGCTACATTTTTAAAAAGGTAAAAATAAACAAGTGAAACCCAATGTTAACATTTTATTTAGGCCGGCACAGTGTCTCATGCCTGTAATCCCAGCACTTTGGGAGGCTGAGGTGGGAGGATTGCTTGAGGCCAGGAGTTCAAGACCAGCCTGGGCAACATAGTGAGACCCTGTCTTTATAAAAAAAAATTTAAAAATTAGCCAGACCTAGCAGCACACGCCTGTAGTCCCACCTACTCAGGAGGCTGAGGCAGGAGGATCGTTTGAGCCTAGGAGTTCGAGGCTGCAGTGAGCTACGATTGCACCACTGCACTCCAGCCTGAGCGACAGAGTGAGACCCTGTCTTTAAAAAAGAAAGAAAGAAAGAAAAAAGAATAAAGAAGATTGTCTTTAACCCAATAGATCCAAAATATTAACCATTCCAACATGGGTCATAAAAAAAAAAAAGCTGAGATATTTTGATACTCTGTAGTCTTTTTGTTGAACTAAGTCTTTGAAATCCGATGCATATTTCAAACTTTAGAGCTGCTTCAGCTGCATGGCAAGTGCCGCAGCCGGACAGTGACAAATCAGAACAGAGCCCGGCAGGCAGCCTGTGCCCAATCAGAGGACTGGGGCCGAGCCCGGCTGTTGCGATTCACACGCGCACGCGGGATCGCGTGTACTCCATCCCTGTACTTGTTTTCTGGCCACTGCATCATCTCAATGATTCCCTGGTGCCTGTGGTTCTCAAATGTGTCCTCCGGCGGGGGGTGAGACCCGGGTCCTTCAGGCAGCCCCTGTGGCCCAGTGACCTAGTGGCTTTGTCACCCACCACCGCCAGAAGCTCATCGAGTTGGTGGACGAGCTGATGGAAGACCGTGGGGATATGGACGACCTGGCCCCTCCCGTCCGGCACTGCATAGCCACCCATCTGCTCTCGGGCCTCGAAGACGTCCTGAGGGCCCTGGCCAAGACCATGCCTGAAGAGCCCGTCACCTACCGTTCCCCCTCGGGCACAGGTGAGGCCTCATCCTATCCCAGCCCCAGGCCTCCACCTGTATCTAGTGTCCTCAATTTTTGCCCCTCTCTCTTCAGAGCTGTCCCTGGTAATCCAGGAGCAGGGGAACAAGAATGTCACCATGGGTCAGAGCCACGCACGGATGCTGCTGAACTGGGCTGTAGCAGCGAGAGCCGGGGACCCGGGTAACAGCAGCGGTCCGCAGCGGGGTACCGGTGGGAGAGGGGAAGGGAGCAGCTGGGATGGGGCCAGGGTAAGGTTCAGATTACGGGACAACTGATAACTGCGCCATCGGGAGGGATTCCAGGCATCGTAGCAGATTGGCCGAGCCTGAATTGGGACATCTTGGGAGGGAGGGCGGGAGGAGGCAGCAAGTGTGTCTGTCCCCCAGGCCCCAGTGTGGCAGGCATCTTCTCCAGCCAGAACATGGAGGAACTGCTGGCCAACGCCTCCTTGGACCTGGAGCCCGAGAAGCAAGCCCAGCTGGAAGAGATCCATGAAGGTCCCGTCCACGGCGCCCAGGTCAGGATCCTCTCAGCCGTGAACTCTGTCTTTCTGAGCAACACCAACACTGAGAAACTGGCCTCTCCCATCACTTTCGCCTTCTCCCACACGGTGAGTCCTCATGTGGGGAGAGGGAATCCACCCTCCTGCTCACCCCAGAGCCAAGGTCTCCATTTCCCCACCTCTGCCCACACTCTGCCCCTTCCTCAAATACGCCTCAGGGCCTTTGCACCTGCTGTGTGTGCCCTCTGCCTGGGATGCTCTTCCTCGACATGACTCAGTTCTTTATCTGCCTCCAGCCTTCTCATTTGGGCCTTCCCTGACTCTATGTAAAATGACAACCTAGGCTGGGAGCAGTGGCTCACACCTGTAATCACAGAACATTGGGAGGCCGAGGTGGGAGGATCACTTGAGGCCAGGGGTTTGAGATCAGCCTGGGCAACATAACAAGACCCCATCTCTACACTGGGCAAGTTAGACTACACTAGCCAGGTGTGGTGGCATGTGCCTGTAGTCCCAGCTACTTGGGAGGCTAAGGCAAAAGGACTGCTTGAGCCCAGGAGCCCAGAAGTTGGAGGCTGCAATGAGCTATGATGACACCACTGCACCCTAGCCTGGGTGACAGAGCAATATCCTATCTCTGAAAAAAAAGACAACCTGTACTCATTCCCTACCTTTCACCTGTACCGTTTCATCTTTTTAATAGTCCCCATGGCAACTGTTACCTTCTAACACACTGTCTAGGTTATTTATTTATTAGCTTTATGATTTATTTTACCCCCACCCCCAACTTGCACGTCAGCCCCTCAAGCGCAGGGACTTGTGACTGCCCCTGTTCACTGCTGTGTCCCCAAACCTGCTATATACAGTAGGTGCTCAGTAAATACTCACCCAGTGAAAAGCAGCCCTCCTCAGGCTCAGCCCAATCCCAGGCCCCAAGTGTGGGCTCCGGGCCAACCTCTTGGACCACCCCCAGCACCCACAGCACAAGACGCCTGGGAGTAGGGAGGAGCTCATCTGTGCCTTCTGGAAGAGTGACAGCCACAGAAGTAGACACTGGGCCACCACAGGCTGCCGGATGTTGGGCAGCCAGAATGGCAGCACCACCTGCCAATGCAGCCACCTGAGCAGCTTTGCCATCCTCATGGCACACTACGACGTGCAGGTGAGCAGGGAGATCCGCTCTCAACAGCCCACAGGTGGCCAGTTCAGCTTAGGTGACCAGACAGTCAGCTGGTTCTCCAAGGTGTGGTCCAACTGGTTTCTCAAATGTGTCTGTACGGTTGCACAGCCCAGGTGGCCCCAAGCCCCTCCCCTAAGACCCAGCAACTAAACGGTGAGGCCTGGCACTGCAGGCCCTGCCGCAGCCAGTGCCCCTCTTCCTGCCTGCCCCACACCAATTGCAAAATATCTTTAAAAGCTTCCCATGTAGGACATTCCAAGGGAGCACAACTTTCTGTATGTGGCCTCAGTAGGATCCGTAGATAAGCTGGGCCATGTTGGATAACTGGAATTAGCCAGGCAGAGTAGGAGAGGCTGGTGGCCCAGGCCAAAGGCCCGGCAAGCACCAAATTGTGAGATCCCGGCCAAGCGCAGTGGCTCACATCTGTAATCCTAGTGCTTTGGGAGGCCGAGGCAGAAGGATCGCTTGAGACCAGGAGTTCAGTTGGAGAAGAGCCTGAGCAAGAGTGAGATCCCATCTCTACAAAAATAAAATAAAAATTAGCTGGACGTGGTGGCGCGTGCCTGTAGTCCCAGCTACTGCGGAGGCTGAGGCAGGAGGATCACTTAAGCCCAGGAGTTTGAGGTTGCAGTGAGCTGTGATTGCGCCACTGCACTCCAGCCTGGGGAACAGAGTGAGATCCTGTCTCAAAAAAAAGAATAACAAAGAAATGTGAGGTCCCTATCCCATACCTGCCAGCTGACAGGTGTAGCCAGGTGTAGGGGGGCAAGGGAGGAGGCTGGAGAAGTGGGCCCATCAGAGTGTTGGTAAAGCGGGACCGCAAGGAGGGCAGGAAGGCCTCAGGGTCCTCACGGAACCCTGCCCACCGCATCCTGCCCCTAGGACTGGAAGCTGGCCCTGATCACCAAGGTGGGACTGGCGCTGTCGCTGGTCTGTTTGCTGCTGTGCATTCTCACCTTCCTGCTGGTGCGGCCCATCCAGGGCTCGCGCACCACCATACACCTGCACCTGTGCATCTGCCTCTTCGTGGGCTCCGCCATCTTCCTGGCGGGCATCGAGAACCAAAGTGACGAGGTAAGGCCCCGCCCCGCCCCGCCCTCACCTGAGCGCTAAATCGGCAAGGCCCCGGAGGAGGTTAGCCCCGCCCACTTCCGGGGCTCGGTCAGAGAGGCGGGCCCTGGAGGCACGTGGCTCCGCCCCTGCCCGGGATCTGGCCCCGCCCACCGAGGTGGTGTGCCTCTTTAAGGGGCGCCGGCTTTGGAGATGCATGGCCACGCCCCGACCCCACGCTCATCCCCGCTATGGGCGTCGTGGGGGGGCGTGCCCTGGAAGAGCCTGGCTCCGCCCCAGCACCGCCCACCCTCCAGGCTGTGGCCCCGCCCACTCTCCTCCAGGCCCCCGCCCTCCCCGGGGACTCTGGCAGAGGACTGGCTCCGGCGGTGTGTGCCCCGCCCCGCGCTGACGTCGCCCTGCCCCTCCGTCCCCGCCCCGCAGGTGGGGCTGCGCTGCCGCCTGGTGGCCGGTCTGCTGCACTACTGCTTCCTGGCCGCCTTCTGCTGGATGAGCCTCGAAGGCCTGGAGCTCTACTTCCTCGTGGTGCGCGTGTTCCAGGGCCAGGGCCTCCGCACGCGCTGGCTCTGCCTGATCGGCTACGGCGTGCCCCTGCTCATCGTCGCCATCTCGGCGGCCTCCTATAGCGAGGGCTACGGCCGCACCAGCTTGTGAGTGTGGCACTAGGGGAGGGCCGGGTGCCAGGCCCCGGGGCACGCAGGCAGTGCCGCACACGTTGCCTCGCTGCCCTCCCGCTCCGTTCTGGGCCTCATCGGGCTCTGATGGGACCTCTCCCTTCCCTCCTAGCTGCTGGTTGTCCCTTAAGCATGGCTTCCTCTGGAGCTTCCTGGGACCCGTGATCTTCATCGTTTTGGTAACTGCCCACCCCCTACCCAAAGCCCGAGAGGCATGGCCCCTCACTGAGCCCTGCTAGATCATCTTTCCTGCCCTCTAATCCACCGTCTACGCTCCCCGCCCAGTGCAATGCTGTCATCTTCGTGACTACTGTCTGGAAGCTCGCTCAGAAGTTTTCTGAAATCAGTCCGGACATGAAGAAATTGAAGAAGGCCAGGTGAGAAGAGGGGCAGAAAGGGAGGACTTGGAGGTGGCGCTGGCAGCCGAGTGGGGCCCCCAGGCTCCAACTGCCCTCCTTGCAGGGTGCTGACCATCACCGCCATCGCCCAGCTCTTCGTGTTGGGCTGCACCTGGGCCTTCGGCCTGTTCCTCTTCAACCCACACAACTGGGTGCTCTCCTACCTCTTCACCATCCTCAACTGCGTGCAGGGCGTCTTCCTGTACTTGCTGCACTGCCTGCTCAACCGGAAGGTGGGACCTCCGGCGGGGCGTGGGCAGGTGGGAGGGTCCCGGGGCCTGATCCTTCCCTGACCCGCTGCTCCCTGGGCCGCAGGTGCGAGAAGAGTACCGGAAGTGGGCCTGCCTAATTGCTGGGAACAAGTACTCCGAGTTCGCCTCTTCCACATCTAACACAAGCCACCATCAGATGACTCGGGTAAGGGGCTGTGCCTGGCACCGGGAGTCTCAGGAAGGCACCGGCGCCCTGGCGGGGCTCAGGCCTCACAGGGCTCCTTTCTCTCCAGGGCCTCAGGCCGTCAGAGTCCGGCATGTGAGCCCAGCCTGGGAACCCGCAGTTCAGGCCACCCTAGCAGCTCCTGTGGCCTCAGCAGCTTTTGCACATGCCGAAGACCGTCCTCTCCTCTCCTCCCACTCTGCTCCCCCGACTGTGTGCGCCACAGAGACAGGGCAGCAGCTGTACTCTGGCACCGAACTCCACAACGCCCAGGGAGGTGGAAAGTCAGAGCCGCTGGTCCTGCTTCTGGCTGCCTCTTTGCCCCAACCCAGCTGTGCCCCAGGGTGGGACAGGTGCTGACCCAGGGCTGCAGCCCATCGCCCTGGTACGTGCAGCCAGTACTGGGGACAGACTGAGGGCTCTTGCCCAGCCTGGCCTTTTCCTCTCATCTGTCTTTGCTGCAGACCAGGCAAGGCCACTGGGGTTCAACTCCCCCTCTTTAAGTTAAGACTGATGTCAGAGGCCAGGGCAGAGCCCCTGCCCGAGGCTCACGGTACAGAGGCCTGCCTGCCCCGGGCAGCGGGTCTCACTGTTTTGAAGGTTGTGGATGTTGTGTACATTGTTTTTATCTGTATGAATCTTTCGATGTTGACACTTAAAATTAAATAACACATGCATAAAGAAGGCGGCCTTGCTTGCTGGTGGGAGTCTGCTGGCCAGGCTTGTGGTGTCCATGAAATGCCGAGAGACAACCAAGAAACAGATGGGATGGGAGCCAGGCTTCCATAATACATATTTATTCTTACACAAATCTACAGCTTTTGAACAAAAAACAGAAAGAGGCCCATCTGGCGCCTAGAAAGAAGACATGAAGCAACACGTGGGCGGCTGCAGGCCGTCGAGGCAGGTGGTTACCGGCTCTGCTCAACTGCAAGACAAACGGGAGGCCAGCGAGTGAGGGGCACGGCACGGGAGGGGTCCTCCGCCCCAGACCCGAGGCCCCCAACCTGCCCAGGCCACTTACTGTATGTGGAAATGTCAATTTCCTCTGGAAGTTCTGCCACATTCACTTCAAACCGGTCCTGGACGTCATTGAGGATTTTGGCATCGTTCTCGTCAGACACGAAAGTGATGGCCAGGCCTTTGGTGCCAAAGCGACCTGCACGGGCCACCTGCAGGAAGACGGGATCAGGGTCAGCCCACAGATCTGAAGGAAAGGCTGCCCGGGTGCCACCCCAGGAAGGGGAACCCGTGGGGCCCCTCACCCGGTGCAGGTAGGTGTCTGAGTCCTCGGGCATATCATAGTTGAAGACGATGTTGACTCGCTCAATATCCATCCCCCGGCCAAACAGATTGGTGGCCACCAGGATCCGCCGCTGGAAATCCTTGAACTGCTGATAGCGTGACAGGCTGGGGTGCAGGAGAAACAAGTGGAGGCCATCAGATACTGGGTTCCTGGGTGGCGCTCCCTGTGGCCTTCGTGGGTGGCGTGCACTCACCGCTCCTCCTGGGCCATGCCGCGGTGGATGGCGATGGCCGGGAAGTTCTGCTCCACGAGGAGCTGGGCCAGGGCCATGCAGCGCTGCACTGACTTGACGAAGATGACCACCTAGAGGGAAGAGTGGCAGTCAGGGCTAGTCTCCTGAGGCCCACCAGCCTCCCCAGGGCCCAGAACCCTGGGACAGGCCAACGGAAGCGTCACCTGGTTAAACTCTAGCACGTCCAGCAGATCAAAGAGCTTGCGGTTCTTCTCGCTGTCCTTGAGCTTGACGTAGTACTGCTGCAGCCCGTGCAGCGTGAGCTTGGTCTCGTCATCCACAAATACCTCCATGGGCTGTGTGGGGAGGGAGGTGGGGAGGGGCGAGCAGGACTCACTCTGGGCATCTCAGCTGCCCAGAACCTTCCAGTGAGGATTCCTCTGTTCGATGCGTCCCAGAGGGCCTGCTGCACCCAACCTCAGTAAGGATCTTACTACAAAAGCTGGAGGTCAGCTCTGGTCTGTCTCAGGTGTGGACCAAGCTTGACTTCCAGTTTGACAACACTGAGAGGGAGGAAGGAAAGAGGCTCGGCCAGCCTCCCAGCATCCTTTGTGCCGTGTGCACGGTGTGGGTGTCCTGGGGCGGCCCCAAGCCCCTGGGGAGGGCCAAAGCTGCTGCGCTGAGGTCTCGGCCACTGTGGGTGGGCCGGGGTCTTGCCCTACTCACATCCTGCATGAACTTCCTGCAGACGGGGCGGATCTCCTTGCTCAGGGTGGCGCTGAACATCATGCACTGCTTCTCATGGGGCGTCAGGCGGAAGATCTCCTGCACGTCCCGCCGCATGTCTGGGTGGGGAGGGCAAGAAACAGGTGGGCGTGAGCGTCTGCCAGAGCACGACCCCCACCCCAGACCAGACCCAGACCGCTCCCGACCTGTGCCAGGGAGCCAGTGGCGCCATGACGAGGGAGTGGAGGGAGGGGTGAGTCCCAGGTGCCTGAGGGGCTGGACTCGGGGGCAAGCCAGCGCAGGCGCAGGAGGAGCTGCAATCCACTTACACGCTGCCAGCGCTGAGCAGCCGTGCCATGCGCCTCGAGCCGCACTTCAGGGAGGGGAGCCTGAGGCAGAGATAGCCGCTGGGGTGAGAGCTGTAGCTGCCTCCCAGGACAAAGCCCATCTCCCACCGGCCCTGCCGGGGCTCACTGAGGGCAGGCAGGGGCCTCAAACTAACCCAGCGGGCAGTGGAAGCCATGATACTCCTACAGGTGTGTGCGTGTATGCCTTTATGTCCAGGCAGGGACAGCAGCTCACGTGGGCCCTGTGGTCCCATTCAGTTGGGCTCAGGAGCAGCACGTCCCGCTCTGCTGACACTAGAAGGTTCCCTAAGATCACTCACAGGAGACTTATGTGCCAGCCACCCACGAGACCCTCTCTAGGAGCCTTTGGCCTGCTCAGTCAGGGCCCGCCTAGACGCTGGCTCTGACATCAGGGGCTGTGTGGGGAGGGGAGTGTGTGCTGGGCGGGCCTGGGCAGCCCCACAGGCCCAGCGGGGACACTCACCCAGCTGCTCCAGCATCTTGTCACACTCGTCCAGCACAAAGTGCTTCACGTTCTTCAGGTTGAGGCTCCTGTTCCGCACCAGTGCCAGGATCCGGCCTGGGGTCCCCACCACGACATGGGGACAGTTCTTCTTTAACACCTCTTCATCCTTCTTAATGCAGAGACCACCGAAGAACACAGACACCTACGGGGATTGGGAGAAGTTGCTTCTAGTTGTCCGGGGGCTGCACACTCGCACCCTACTCTGTACTGGTGCCCAGTCCACGGGCCCAGCAGCCCCCCGAGGGTGTCCAATAGCCAGCCCTGGCACCTCAGAACAGAAGGCCTGAGGGACAGAGGCAGGCCTGAGAGCCTGCCAGGGCGTCAGTGCAAGGCAGCCGCGGGCCGGGACCGGTGCAGGCCCCTGGGAATCATGCATAATTCATCAGGCTTTTAAGGAGCATAAACCACCGCAAACCTCAAAGGCAGCTGCCGCCGCCAAACTTAGTAAATGCTGGATGGGGCCAGAGCCGAGGCCAGAGAGGCTGCAGGAGACCGCACAGCGCCCGGCCCGGCGCAGTGCGAGGGTCTCACCTTGACGCTGGGCATGTACTTGGAGAAGCGCTCGTACTCCTTGCTGATCTGGAAGGCCAGCTCCCTCGTGTGGCACATGGCCAGAACTGCCACCTGTGGAGTGGCAGGAGAAAGGTCCTTTAAGGCACTGTCCTAAACCCTCCCCGGCCAGAGCTCACGCTGGCACTCCCTTCCCTTGAAGGCCCACACCCGTCTGGACCCTCCCCAACAAGAGCGCCCACCACACTGCTCCTCACACCACAGGCCGTTTGAACACCTGGTCCAAATTCCTGCACCTTGCCCGCCCCTCGCTTGCTACACCCTCTCACTGCTGCCGAGGCCACGTCTCCTGACACCAGGACCTACACTGAGGCCAGGACAGAAAATGGCTAAGGTCAGACCCAGCCTGCCCTGATGACGTGGGCCCCACGCTCTAACGGCTTCCCAAGTCTCCACTCTTGCGCTGTCCCTGCGCTCCCGCCCATGCCGCCAAACATTATGACCACAGCACAGCCTTCCACGAAGTCCTCATCCTTCACAATTTGCCCTGAGAAAAGCAAGGCCCATGCACCAACGAGGCTGTGCACCTCAGTGTGTTTCTTAAGAGCAAAACATTCAGGCCGGGCGTGGTGGCTCACGCCTGTAATCCCAGCACTCTGGGAGGCTGAGGTGGGAGGATCACTGGAGCTCAGGAGTTTGAGACCAGCCTGAGCAAGAGCGAGACCCCGTCTCTATTAAAAACAGAAAGAAATTAGCTGGACAACTAAAAATATATAGAAAAAATTAGCCGGGCATGGTGGCGCATGCCTGTAGTCCCAGCTACTCGGGAGGCTGAGGCAGGAGGATCACTTAAGCCCAGGAGTTTGAGGTTGCAGTGAGCTGTGATTGCGCCACTGCACTCCAGCCTGGGGAACAGAGTGAGATCCTGTCTCAAAAAAAAGAATAACAAAGAAATGTGAGGTCCCTATCCCATACCTGCCAGCTGACAGGTGTAGCCAGGTGTAGGGGGGCAAGGGAGGAGGCTGGAGAAGTGGGCCCATCAGAGTGTTGGTAAAGCGGGACCGCAAGGAGGGCAGGAAGGCCTCAGGGTCCTCACGGAACCCTGCCCACCGCATCCTGCCCCTAGGACTGGAAGCTGGCCCTGATCACCAAGGTGGGACTGGCGCTGTCGCTGGTCTGTTTGCTGCTGTGCATTCTCACCTTCCTGCTGGTGCGGCCCATCCAGGGCTCGCGCACCACCATACACCTGCACCTGTGCATCTGCCTCTTCGTGGGCTCCGCCATCTTCCTGGCGGGCATCGAGAACCAAAGTGACGAGGTAAGGCCCCGCCCCGCCCCGCCCTCACCTGAGCGCTAAATCGGCAAGGCCCCGGAGGAGGTTAGCCCCGCCCACTTCCGGGGCTCGGTCAGAGAGGCGGGCCCTGGAGGCACGTGGCTCCGCCCCTGCCCGGGATCTGGCCCCGCCCACCGAGGTGGTGTGCCTCTTTAAGGGGCGCCGGCTTTGGAGATGCATGGCCACGCCCCGACCCCACGCTCATCCCCGCTATGGGCGTCGTGGGGGGGCGTGCCCTGGAAGAGCCTGGCTCCGCCCCAGCACCGCCCACCCTCCAGGCTGTGGCCCCGCCCACTCTCCTCCAGGCCCCCGCCCTCCCCGGGGACTCTGGCAGAGGACTGGCTCCGGCGGTGTGTGCCCCGCCCCGCGCTGACGTCGCCCTGCCCCTCCGTCCCCGCCCCGCAGGTGGGGCTGCGCTGCCGCCTGGTGGCCGGTCTGCTGCACTACTGCTTCCTGGCCGCCTTCTGCTGGATGAGCCTCGAAGGCCTGGAGCTCTACTTCCTCGTGGTGCGCGTGTTCCAGGGCCAGGGCCTCCGCACGCGCTGGCTCTGCCTGATCGGCTACGGCGTGCCCCTGCTCATCGTCGCCATCTCGGCGGCCTCCTATAGCGAGGGCTACGGCCGCACCAGCTTGTGAGTGTGGCACTAGGGGAGGGCCGGGTGCCAGGCCCCGGGGCACGCAGGCAGTGCCGCACACGTTGCCTCGCTGCCCTCCCGCTCCGTTCTGGGCCTCATCGGGCGCTGATGGGACCTCTCCCTTCCCTCCTAGCTGCTGGTTGTCCCTTAAGCATGGCTTCCTCTGGAGCTTCCTGGGACCCGTGATCTTCATCGTTTTGGTAACTGCCCACCCCCTACCCAAAGCCCGAGAGGCATGGCCCCTCACTGAGCCCTGCTAGATCATCTTTCCTGCCCTCTAATCCACCGTCTACGCTCCCCGCCCAGTGCAATGCTGTCATCTTCGTGACTACTGTCTGGAAGCTCGCTCAGAAGTTTTCTGAAATCAGTCCGGACATGAAGAAATTGAAGAAGGCCAGGTGAGAAGAGGGGCAGAAAGGGAGGACTTGGAGGTGGCGCTGGCAGCCGAGTGGGGCCCCCAGGCTCCAACTGCCCTCCTTGCAGGGTGCTGACCATCACCGCCATCGCCCAGCTCTTCGTGTTGGGCTGCACCTGGGCCTTCGGCCTGTTCCTCTTCAACCCACACAACTGGGTGCTCTCCTACCTCTTCACCATCCTCAACTGCGTGCAGGGCGTCTTCCTGTACTTGCTGCACTGCCTGCTCAACCGGAAGGTGGGACCTCCGGCGGGGCGTGGGCAGGTGGGAGGGTCCCGGGGCCTGATCCTTCCCTGACCCGCTGCTCCCTGGGCCGCAGGTGCGAGAAGAGTACCGGAAGTGGGCCTGCCTAATTGCTGGGAACAAGTACTCCGAGTTCGCCTCTTCCACATCTAACACAAGCCACCATCAGATGACTCGGGTAAGGGGCTGTGCCTGGCACCGGGAGTCTCAGGAAGGCACCGGCGCCCTGGCGGGGCTCAGGCCTCACAGGGCTCCTTTCTCTCCAGGGCCTCAGGCCGTCAGAGTCCGGCATGTGAGCCCAGCCTGGGAACCCGCAGTTCAGGCCACCCTAGCAGCTCCTGTGGCCTCAGCAGCTTTTGCACATGCCGAAGACCGTCCTCTCCTCTCCTCCCACTCTGCTCCCCCGACTGTGTGCGCCACAGAGACAGGGCAGCAGCTGTACTCTGGCACCGAACTCCACAACGCCCAGGGAGGTGGAAAGTCAGAGCCGCTGGTCCTGCTTCTGGCTGCCTCTTTGCCCCAACCCAGCTGTGCCCCAGGGTGGGACAGGTGCTGACCCAGGGCTGCAGCCCATCGCCCTGGTACGTGCAGCCAGTACTGGGGACAGACTGAGGGCTCTTGCCCAGCCTGGCCTTTTCCTCTCATCTGTCTTTGCTGCAGACCAGGCAAGGCCACTGGGGTTCAACTCCCCCTCTTTAAGTTAAGACTGATGTCAGAGGCCAGGGCAGAGCCCCTGCCCGAGGCTCACGGTACAGAGGCCTGCCTGCCCCGGGCAGCGGGTCTCACTGTTTTGAAGGTTGTGGATGTTGTGTACATTGTTTTTATCTGTATGAATCTTTCGATGTTGACACTTAAAATTAAATAACACATGCATAAAGAAGGCGGCCTTGCTTGCTGGTGGGAGTCTGCTGGCCAGGCTTGTGGTGTCCATGAAATGCCGAGAGACAACCAAGAAACAGATGGGATGGGAGCCAGGCTTCCATAATACATATTTATTCTTACACAAATCTACAGCTTTTGAACAAAAAACAGAAAGAGGCCCATCTGGCGCCTAGAAAGAAGACATGAAGCAACACGTGGGCGGCTGCAGGCCGTCGAGGCAGGTGGTTACCGGCTCTGCTCAACTGCAAGACAAACGGGAGGCCAGCGAGTGAGGGGCACGGCACGGGAGGGGTCCTCCGCCCCAGACCCGAGGCCCCCAACCTGCCCAGGCCACTTACTGTATGTGGAAATGTCAATTTCCTCTGGAAGTTCTGCCACATTCACTTCAAACCGGTCCTGGACGTCATTGAGGATTTTGGCATCGTTCTCGTCAGACACGAAAGTGATGGCCAGGCCTTTGGTGCCAAAGCGACCTGCACGGGCCACCTGCAGGAAGACGGGATCAGGGTCAGCCCACAGATCTGAAGGAAAGGCTGCCCGGGTGCCACCCCAGGAAGGGGAACCCGTGGGGCCCCTCACCCGGTGCAGGTAGGTGTCTGAGTCCTCGGGCATATCATAGTTGAAGACGATGTTGACTCGCTCAATATCCATCCCCCGGCCAAACAGATTGGTGGCCACCAGGATCCGCCGCTGGAAATCCTTGAACTGCTGATAGCGTGACAGGCTGGGGTGCAGGAGAAACAAGTGGAGGCCATCAGATACTGGGTTCCTGGGTGGCGCTCCCTGTGGCCTTCGTGGGTGGCGTGCACTCACCGCTCCTCCTGGGCCATGCCGCGGTGGATGGCGATGGCCGGGAAGTTCTGCTCCACGAGGAGCTGGGCCAGGGCCATGCAGCGCTGCACTGACTTGACGAAGATGACCACCTAGAGGGAAGAGTGGCAGTCAGGGCTAGTCTCCTGAGGCCCACCAGCCTCCCCAGGGCCCAGAACCCTGGGACAGGCCAACGGAAGCGTCACCTGGTTAAACTCTAGCACGTCCAGCAGATCAAAGAGCTTGCGGTTCTTCTCGCTGTCCTTGAGCTTGACGTAGTACTGCTGCAGCCCGTGCAGCGTGAGCTTGGTCTCGTCATCCACAAATACCTCCATGGGCTGTGTGGGGAGGGAGGTGGGGAGGGGCGAGCAGGACTCACTCTGGGCATCTCAGCTGCCCAGAACCTTCCAGTGAGGATTCCTCTGTTCGATGCGTCCCAGAGGGCCTGCTGCACCCAACCTCAGTAAGGATCTTACTACAAAAGCTGGAGGTCAGCTCTGGTCTGTCTCAGGTGTGGACCAAGCTTGACTTCCAGTTTGACAACACTGAGAGGGAGGAAGGAAAGAGGCTCGGCCAGCCTCCCAGCATCCTTTGTGCCGTGTGCACGGTGTGGGTGTCCTGGGGCGGCCCCAAGCCCCTGGGGAGGGCCAAAGCTGCTGCGCTGAGGTCTCGGCCACTGTGGGTGGGCCGGGGTCTTGCCCTACTCACATCCTGCATGAACTTCCTGCAGACGGGGCGGATCTCCTTGCTCAGGGTGGCGCTGAACATCATGCACTGCTTCTCATGGGGCGTCAGGCGGAAGATCTCCTGCACGTCCCGCCGCATGTCTGGGTGGGGAGGGCAAGAAACAGGTGGGCGTGAGCGTCTGCCAGAGCACGACCCCCACCCCAGACCAGACCCAGACCGCTCCCGACCTGTGCCAGGGAGCCAGTGGCGCCATGACGAGGGAGTGGAGGGAGGGGTGAGTCCCAGGTGCCTGAGGGGCTGGACTCGGGGGCAAGCCAGCGCAGGCGCAGGAGGAGCTGCAATCCACTTACACGCTGCCAGCGCTGAGCAGCCGTGCCATGCGCCTCGAGCCGCACTTCAGGGAGGGGAGCCTGAGGCAGAGATAGCCGCTGGGGTGAGAGCTGTAGCTGCCTCCCAGGACAAAGCCCATCTCCCACCGGCCCTGCCGGGGCTCACTGAGGGCAGGCAGGGGCCTCAAACTAACCCAGCGGGCAGTGGAAGCCATGATACTCCTACAGGTGTGTGCGTGTATGCCTTTATGTCCAGGCAGGGACAGCAGCTCACGTGGGCCCTGTGGTCCCATTCAGTTGGGCTCAGGAGCAGCACGTCCCGCTCTGCTGACACTAGAAGGTTCCCTAAGATCACTCACAGGAGACTTATGTGCCAGCCACCCACGAGACCCTCTCTAGGAGCCTTTGGCCTGCTCAGTCAGGGCCCGCCTAGACGCTGGCTCTGACATCAGGGGCTGTGTGGGGAGGGGAGTGTGTGCTGGGCGGGCCTGGGCAGCCCCACAGGCCCAGCGGGGACACTCACCCAGCTGCTCCAGCATCTTGTCACACTCGTCCAGCACAAAGTGCTTCACGTTCTTCAGGTTGAGGCTCCTGTTCCGCACCAGTGCCAGGATCCGG